ACGGGGATGGGGGGGGATGGGAATACCCTTCGACTCCCCGACCCCGGCCCCGAAATATATATATATATATATATATTTTTTATTTTGATTGAGAAACTTTGTTAAGTTGAATTGTTGGAACTTTTTATGACGTATTTGGCTAACATTACTGTTGATAAGATAGTAAGTTGGTTTTTATTAGTGGGCTAAACTTTATGGTTGATAACTTGTCGTGATAATTCAACTTGGTTTTAHTRAAATTTCTAGCTTTAAACATTTACAAATCAATAAATATAATGCTCTTTATTCAAGCAAAAAATGCAATTTCACATCCGGGSAAAAATCCCCGATTCCCCGTTGGAGATCCCCGATTCCCCGTGGGGATGGGGATGGGGATGGGGATGTAATCACATTCCCCAGCGGGGATGGGGACGGGGACGGGGATGGGGATGGGGAGTGGGGATCGGGGACGGGGATGGGAAGTGCAATCCCCGATGCCCCCGGCCCCGTTGCCATCCCTAGCTATAAACATCAAAACAAATACAATAAAATACTATTTTTGGATCTAATTTGTTTGGTTAAAAAATTGATTATATTATAATTTATATTTTGTTTAAAATTGAGATAAAATTACGAGTTTCTAAACTCGATCCGTTTTTATAGAAAGAGTAATATGAGTTTTTATCATTATTATTTACAAAAAGTGCAAAAACATAATATTAGAATAAATTAAAAGATTTGTACATATTATTAGTCTATATATAATTCTTTAATATTTGTACTGAAAATTTAGAGTTTTCAAATAATAAAACCGAAATGTTTACAGTAATAAAGTAGTATTATTACATTAAAATTGGTTTTATAGGACGCCTAAATTGTATAAGTGTGGTATTAGAATACTTAATAGAACATAGGTTCATAAGACTACACTGAAAAGAGGCACATCTAAAGGCGTTACAATAGGTTTATAGAACGTTTTTAGACGTTTTAACATGTTTTTTAGAACATTTTTAAAATAAAGTATCATGTTGTCTATTTTGGGTTTATAAGACATTTTTTCAAATAATATTATATAAAATTAGTTAATACGACACTTTATTTTAAAAACGTCCTAAAAATTGTTAATATGTCTAAAAGCGTCATATAAACATATCGTAGCAATTCTACATAGGATAATTTTTGTTTTGGTCCTACGATATTAAGTCATATAAAGTACTTTTTCAAGACCAAAATCATATTTGTTGTAGTGTAAACTGTAAAAATAATTTATATTTTCTTGTTAACTAGAATGCAGCGAAATACATCTTGATTTTAATGTTTCATTTTATATTTTGGCTCTATCGATGCTATAATGCGATTTTACATGGTTTTGAGAAAACGAAAATGTTTTTATTTTTGAATAAAATATAAATTTGAAGATGTTATAAGAACTTGAAAAAAATAATCGATATTAGTATCAAATTAACTATTTAAAAATTTTCCTTTTTACGTAATTTTTTTAATTCAATTTTTTATTATAATTTATTGAAGTTTACTAACGAACTAATTTTTTTTTGCTCTAATAAAATAATTTTTTTAAGATAATAATCAAGTATTCTGTTAGAACTCAATAGTTATCCTAATTATATTTTAGATTTTTTATATTTAAAATGATTTTTATCTGCAGTTAGTTACACGAATTCAAACATAGAGCTTTAATAAGAGGTAATAACGCACATTATACTTGTAATCTTGAATTTTACGTAATATGCATCAATAAAAATATTTTATGCATAAAAAATTATTTTTAAAATTTTTTATCAAATATTTTACGATATAGTATAGATAGAGTGGGTTTGGGCCATCCTGACATAAAAGGGCCCATTTGGTTGGCCTGTTATAGATCATAAATGGCTTTTGATCCACAAATACAACTCTATATCAATCCATTCTTAATGATATACACAGTTACACACACACACACATTGTATTTGATATTGATTAATTATATACCCATAAATTTATAAATATTATATAATCCCCTACACAAGTTTATATTACATATAAAATAAAAAACGTCATATAAGAATATTTTACAGGACACAAGTTTAATGGACCAAACTAAAAAACGTCATATCTAAAAGTGTTACAATAAATTTATAGGTAGCTTTTAGGTGTTTTAACAAATTTAGTAAGACATTTATAAAATAAAGTGTCGTACTAACTATTTTATATGACACTATTTGAAAATATCCTATAAACAAAAGTGTCATATAAAAAAATGAGTTTATTAGGACATTATTCAAAAGTGTTATATAAAATAGCTAATAAGACATTTTATTTTAAAAACATCGTAAAAAAACTTGTTAAAACGCTTAAAGCATCCTATAAACTTATTGTGACGTTTAAGATAGAACGCTTTTTGGTTTGGTCTTATAAACTTGTCTCCTGTGAAGTATTATTTTAGGACGCCTTTTTATTTTAGGCGTCCTATAAAATCAATTTTGTTGTAGTGATTACCGATTGAAATGATGTTGTCGAGCATCACTGACGAGTTTACCGTCATCGATGAGCATTCTTCTAGAAGCCGTTTGTTAAACCTGTCCATTGGTAGGGGTGAACAAAGGCGGGTACCCGTCCAAAATTCATGTAACCGGTCCCGAGACCATGACCGGCGGTTCCTGGAATGAAGAAATCGGAACTGGTTATAGCGGTTCATTATATTTGGTAACCGGTTCCGATACCGCGTGACCGGTGTCTAATTTTTTTAAAAAAACTTCATCATTTCATACTATAAAAGAGTATTATTAATCTATTACAAAGTACTAACGTAAAGAAGTAAATACTACAAGCAATGAAAACTAATTGGATACAAACTAAAAACTAAAAATGAAAACCAGAACCGAAACCAGTCCCAATCGGTTTCGTATATTAGGAACTGGAATTGGAACCAATCACATCAGTTTGGGTTCCAAAGACAAATACCAGATTTTGTATTTATAATATGAATATATACACATATCACTACAAAAGAAATAACTTTCACCCACAACAATTTCTGTCAGTGATTATCTACGGATCACCCAGAAAATACTAATGGTTCGATAGAATCCAATGTTTTTCGAGAAAATACTAATAGATCACCCGAAGAATATCTAGGTAATCTGTCACCGATTTGAATTACCCACCCCAACTTGTGTGACGAATCACCCTTCAACGACAAAAATTTCACAGCTAAAAGTCCGTAAGCAAAAGTATTTCATTTGATAGTGTATATACACTATATGTACAACCCAATATGATCTGATACACTATACATACATAGATATACACTAATTGTCGGTCAAAAATTTACTTTATACAAATTTTATTTTCTTCACATTACCAACGAACTTAAAAAATAAAAGATCGTTGGTTTTTCATTGGTAACAAACATTCAGTCATCTACGAACATATACCAAAAAAAGTTAAAAAGCAGTTGTTGGTTTATCTGTAAATTACAACATTCACAATATAATACTAACGGGTTTCATAAAATACAAATCAACATGTATACAATTAAGATTATTAGCAACGACATCTTTTACTATAAAATTGTCTTATCCATCGATACTATCATCTATACCGTTCATATGTCGATATTCCGTTGTTAAATTAAAATTTTAATTATTTAAATATATAAAATCTAAATTAAAAAAAAAATGGTAATTATTAAAAATGTGCTCATTTAACATAAAATCTATTAATAGTAAAATGTGGGTTATATTTCATAAAATTGTACATGAAAATGTGAGAAGTAAAAGCTACTTGAACAAACACCACATGACGAAATAATAGCAAGCAAATTTGGGTACTAAATTTAATGCCACCACCAAATTTGGGTAATTGTTGAATTGCTAATTAATGAGATTGGTGTTGCCATCGGCTACAACTTATTTGCTTGTTGCTATCATCACCAACCCAATTCCATTCCTTTACCCATTCAATTATATATGTTTTCAAAGTACATATAATATAATCTCAGATGAATGGTACGTAAACTCAATTCAGATGATGTTTATACGTGAACCAGAGACAGTAATATGTAAATAATAATTTAAAGGTTCATTAGTGAACAATTTCCTTAAATACTGACTTATATATGTTACTTATCATATAAATGTTTATTGGTCAACTGATAAACCGTTCATAAGTAAGCAAGTAAAATGTGATTGATTTCGGTTTCAAAATGACGAAAAGACATTCTCGGGAACTGAAATCGGTGCATAATAAAAGTTTCTGATCTTTTCCAATTTTACCCTGTTCACAATTGTTCACGACATATATAGAACGCTTTTTCATTTTACTATTATTACAAAAATGTCATTGATGTTTTAGGTCCATAGATTGAATAAATTAATGGTTATGATTGGTTACATAGTTAATATCAGATATACATACATACATATATATATATATATATATATATATATATATATATATTCAAAGAGGGAAGTTTATTGAATAACTTTGAACATTTTAAGAACCCATTAGCCACCATCTTATATGTATTTTTGATGAACAATGTTCACCATAAATATTCGGTGATTTCTAAGTTCCTAAAATATTTAAGGTTCTAAAATGAAATTTGTCCCTATGATTCAAGGCGAATGATCGTATGAGAAGGATAATTTAAATAAAAAACGTAAGAAGAGATCTAAATCTTTGATCACCTTTAATCTAAAACTCATCCATGAATCACACTTGATACAATGATTGATTTGGTGCATCTCATTCTAATGTGCATCTAATTGATGATGCAAATCTTTTCTTATACTTCTCACCTTAACTCTCCTTCTCAGTTTTCACCGAAACTTAACATATGCTCCAAAATGGCATATATATAATGGAAGAAAATTGAATGCAAATCTTGAAGTTAGTTAGTTACATGAAATATGTCAATTAATTGAAGTCGACATTTAAAGCTCAACAAGATTGCAATACATGATAAATTCAAGCGACTTCATAAACTCGTAATCAACATTGAAATCGAACATATTCCATACCATCAGTAAGGTATAAGCGTTCAAGTAATTAATCACCTTTAGTAAAAACGAAAAGTAAGACAGAGGAAAAAAAGAAATAAGCAATAGCTTCGTGAAATCGTACATATATATTACTGTTCTCTAGTATTCATCCATCGTTCTTCTTGATTTTTGATGGATTTGATCGTTCATTTAATCACCCTTTTCAACTCGTTTTAGAATTCCTCCAAATCTCCTCGAGTTCTCTAGCGAAAGCTTCTTGACGTCCCACAACAATGGTGATATGATCTTTCTTTTTGACAACCTTCACGTGGGCCCGTGGGACTTTGGTCTTCACGTTGGCGCTACATTCGACTGGGATGAGTTCATCGTCTTCGCCATGGAAGACATTAACGCTGCAATTCAACTGGTTTTGAACCGTATCCAAATACCCTTCGATCTTGCCGGCGGTCCCACATATGATGTTATGAAGGGTATGCCACGCAGCATTATGTGTATGGCAGCAAAAACCTTTGATCAAGTAGGTCTTAATCCTGCATTAATTATACATAATCACATAAGTCTTAACAACATTTGATCTACCTATGATTAACGTTGTATTAATGAAGAAATTAAGATTGGAGGAGGACACACGTAATTCGATTTCATTAAATGGCCTCATTTTGAGAGTGTGACATTTGTATTTGCAACTTGGTTGTGACGTTTGAATTTAACCAAATATAGACTTGGTTTTCCATGGCTGATCATGACACATCAATATTGTTCATTGTCATCGGTTATTTTTCGATAATATTGTCAGACAGATACTTACATTTACACAGTTTAAAACGTTATATATAACTATATATATATATATATTTGTGTGTGTGTGTCGAATCAAAGAATGATGTATGTCCCAATATGGAATTGTAATTTCGACTTTTCAATAAGCCATTTTTATGATTTGAGATGGTACTAAGATGGCCAGAAAATCAAGCAATTACGGAGTAAGAAATGCGATAGGGTTGGGAGAAAACTGGTTCGTAACTCCGTATCCACGAAATTAAAATACTGAATCAGACAAGAATTGACTATATTTAGAAATCAAATTTCAATTCAGTTTGGTATGGGTTTTTGTTGTTCAAACTTACCATGATGTCTTTTCGGATTTCTAAATTCTTGAAATTACAAAAATTTCGACTTCATATTTAATTCAAAATCGGTTTATACATAAATCAAGATTCGATTAAGTTTCTTTATTTTATTTGTGGTCCAACCAAATGTGACCCGATTGTAAACTAAATGAACAATCTTAGATGGAGGTCATAAATTTAGGGTTTGGTGCATTTAAATTTGTTGTCTAAGTGATCACGACATTGACTAGAATATATAGAATGTAAAATCGTCAAAAAGATTTTTATTTCTATTGTTTTCCATAAAAATAGTTTTAAAAATGTATCCACCGTCAAAATTATCATTCGGAATCAGATTTTATATACTTCCTCTGTTCCAAAACAGATGTCCAAAATAAAAAAACACAGTTTAGAATTATGCAACTGTTACACTTTTTAGTCAAGTAAATGACGAGTTTACCCTTTGATAATAAAAGGTAAACTTTTTTAGTATTATATTTGAAGGGTAGAAAGTAAAGCCAACAAACTAAAATTGAGATATTTAAATTTAGTTTGGAAGAGAAGAAAGAAAATGGTTACCTGTTTCTGGTGATGAGTTTGGTGAGAAATTCCCAGATTCGGTGGTTCTTGCAGATAAGCAAACAAATGGTTCGGCTAACATGTTCATACCAGCAAGCTAACGAAGCTCCGAACGCTATCAATGGCCACACCCGCCGTGGCGCCACCTTCCTCATCATATACTGTGTCGCTTGTTCCCCTTTCGGCGTCGGAAAATATGGCTGCCATTCCCATTATATATGATAAATATATTCATTTATCCATTTTGGGAAATTAGTTGGTTAACAGAATGCTTACCGGAGCTAGCAGGGTGAGAGACTTGACGGAGTTGGGGTATTTGACGGCGAGTGCAAGAGCTAGGATGCAACCGAGAGAATGAGCCACTATGTGGAAAGATTTCACTTTGTGTTCGTCAAGAACCGATCTTTCTATCATGTCTAAATGCTCTTTCATCGTGTAAAGTGAGTCGTGTGGTTTTGGACTTTTTCCGAAACCCAACAGATCTATGGCGAATAATCGATATTTAGATTTGGTTGATCTCGAGAAGTTTGGAAACAATGTTTCTGTCCAGAATGTCGACGATGATATGAACCCATGAATGAATAAGACATCGTCTCCCACATTATCTGTGATTACAGGAATTGATCTTAAAAGGTTGAAGAAGATATATACACATATACATACAGGTATATATATATATATATATATATAGATACAAACCTTTAGGTCCATCGGTGTGGACAAAAAGAGTATCTTGACAAGAGTTTGACCAAGAGTTGCAGGTATCACAGTCGCAATCAGACCACCTAGGAGTTGGATGAGACTTATGAGCACCGATTTTCTCTTGGAGCATTTCGACAATGGTGTTGTTCACCGTGAAAGTTGATCGGACGGTGGACTTATTAATGGAAGTAGTACTAATGACGGTGGTTGTGTCACTGATCTTCCGGCGTTTAAGCTCCTTGACGGTGGTTTTAGAAACCTCCGCCACCAAAGATGGCCTGGTATAGAGGGTATCGGAGATCTCTTCCAGTTGTAACTTGGTGGAAGTAAGACAAACGATCTTCTTGGATTCACCTTTCTCCGACACCAAGATTTTACCACTTCCGGTGATGGCTTCTTTTGGGGAAGAACAGTAACAGGGTTTCCATTCAGCTTCAATGAAGAAATCAATAATTTTATACACATAACAAAGGATCAAATCAAGAACATCAAGAACGGAGAAGATAACAAAACTCAAAACATCATTAACCAACTTCCCGATCATCGTCAGAGCTCCAATCACCCCCATTTTTCCACCGGAAACAAGAGCTTCTTCCCACATCAAAATGGAGTTAGAAAATAAAAGGACAAAGGGGTTTTACGACTCAAAATGGCATCGTGATACAAAAGAAACCAACAGCAAAGCTGGAAGGTTGGAAAATGTGGAAACTAACCCCACCATGCACCACCTTCTTCAATACTCTTGTGGTTTGAGGGGGAAGAGTGTGAGTTTGCTACTTGTATTAAAGGTGTATTTTGTGGACAGGTACTAACAGGTAAGAGATAAATGCATTCATTAAAACAGTTGCTAGAAGAAATTAAAATATATATATATATATATATATATATATATATATATATATATTAGCTACATTTTTAAACATAAGGTTGGTGGTGGTTGAACCTCCAAATGAGCAGCTCCCAGGAAACCATTTTCCCCCCACCTCTCTAAATCTCCAAGGCTATAAATGTAACTTCACATACCATCACAAAACAATCGAACCCAAAGAGGGTTTACCAACACACCATGACTAGAACCCGTGGAACCATTCGATCCCTCCCAATCATTCATCATGAATTAAACAAGAAACCGTAGGCGTGAATCTTGAATTGTTTATTTAATTTCTTGGGATGTAACTTGCATTTTATTTAATTTCTTGGGATGTAACTTGCATATTGGTGGCGTAATTCAAGATTAGAATTTCTAAGTAAAGGGTACCTTAAAAAGTAATCGGTGGTGCGAGTACAATTAATGTGGAGGTGCATTTTCAAATCAGGAGCTATGGATCTTGCGAATTGAATGCACCATGACTCATGCCTCTTTATAAGTGGTTCATCATTAAGGAACCAAACTACTTTTGGATTTGAAAACCATAGATTTATTGTTGTTTATCTATTTTGATGATACCCATTGCAAACGGATTCATCCACAAAGTTATATTTGGAACTATATTAGGAAAAATGACTTAAATTATTGACCAAATTATCGATTTGGCTCCTCTGTGGTTTTGGGTTTGTTATGGAATTGGGACCTCCACTTTCATTTATTATAGAAAAACTCTCAAGTTTTGCATTTTGTTTCGATTTTGGTCCCCCGTCATAACTGTCGTCGACTATCTTCGTTGAGTACAAGTGTTTAATGAATTATAAATACAAAGCCCTCGCCCCTTCTTCCTTCTTTTTCCCCTGTCTCTCCCTTTCATCATACCGCCCCCACTCCACTCAGCACTCGCCACCCCCCTCTCTCATGTTCTCTTTCAAATAGACCTAACTTCCTCCACTCCCATCTTTCTCATCTCCCATCATGCCCCACCTAATCTACCCTCCTGCAACCCCTATCAAAGCCTTTGCTAAATCCTAATAAAAGTTTGAATCGCTTCATATCTGTTAACCTTCCTTCTACAATTATAGTGTATGTCATTGATTTAAGTGACAGGGGGCAATCGAAGTCTAAATGTACACACACAAGGTTGCAAACTTTGTGACTATTTCATCTTGAGATAGCAATGTAGGAAAGGGGGGGGGGGGYAGGTGGGTCATGGTTGAAAATGAAGAAGAAAGGAAAAGAAAACGATGAAGGGTGGATATGGTGAAGACATTGAAAGGTGGAGATGGTGAAGGGAATTGGACAGAGTTAGTCTCCAGGAGAGAGGAGATAAGACAGAGATGGCCGGTGGTGGGTGGAAGGGGCGGTTGACGCCGGAAAGTGACGCCATAGATGGTGAAAAGGAGGTGGGTGCACGTCACCGGAAAGTGAGGGGAGGGAGAGAGTTTTTTTTTTTTCAAGATGCCAGAAAAAACTTAAAATAAAATAATGATTTACCTTCGGACTTAATATAGATGGTGAACGAACGTTTGGGTGAGGGACCAAATTCAAAATAAAATGCAAATTTTGAGGGGTTTTTTTTATAATAAATCCCCAACCCACATGAACCAAATTCAAAATCACCATCAATTATTTATTGGTGTTTAGGATTGCTTATCAAAAAAAAGTTATTGACTTATTCTATTGTAGCATCGATAGTAAGTATTTTACAGTGTTTGGATAAACAGTTTATACCGGTGTCAAACCAGTAATAAGGAGTTTTTGAAGAAGTTAAATCATTCTAACTTATAATAAGTTGATAAGGACTTTTGTATAAAAGTATAAGTTGTTTCAAATAAACAATCCCAAACACCCCATTAGATTCTACATTGAATACATAGCGGAATTCACAAGTGCACATAAAAGATGAAGAAATTTACAAATATTTTGGAATTTGAAAGTGAATTCTTGAACAGGTTTTCATACGTTAACACAAGACTCAGTGAGTAAATTAATTCGGTGATTTTCATTGAATGAAAACGGATCAAAGCTAAGATTTGGAAAAAAATGGAGGGGCATAGTATGTTGATGGAAAAGGAAGTAATGAAAAAGGACCCTCAATCCATTAATGCCGCTTGCAATTTTAGCTTACCGCGTTCTTCAAATAAGTCTACTCATTAATAAGCACCTCCTTTTAAAACATTAATAGGAAATAAGAGATATTTTAAAACATTGTTCATTTAGAAAATGTTATTTGAGGATGGAAACAAATGTTCTTTTTCTACAAATTTTGATTTTCAACCTAGCTAACTGATTCATGTGTATACAGATCCATTGCATTGTAGTCTAAATTACATGACCCAAATGAATATCCAACACACACAAAGTACGTGCATTCAAATAAATATGTCAATAACGCGTATAACTCCAAAAGTTCGACATAGACCAAAATACACCGGACAAATAACCCCAAGACTTATCTGAGTAAAAAACTGAGCCAAAAGCTCAACAACTAAATTGACTATTGAATAAAAGTCATCATAAATGATTAAAAACGTATTTAATCAACGTTATGCAAACACATGCCCCAAAATAATCTCAATTTATATAATAACTTTATTAAACCAAGTATACGTACCAAGAGTTTATTAATGTCAAATAATCTCTACTTATTTAATAAAGTACCAAAATGACACACTCTCAAGATTTATTTATCAAAGTGTCCAAAAACCTCGAATGTACTAGATATGCAAAACCCATTAAATAATCCACACACTTGATAAATATCAAGAAAATAACGTCAATACTTCAAAATGGACGTGTTTGGCATGTACAAAGTTTTTACAAAGCAACTTGAATTCATTTTGCTAGATTTATGCTAAATCTAGGTTTTACCCAACATCTTAAACTTCCATTGGTGAAGACTTGAGATCCCATAGCAAGCCTCCCAAATATTAGCTCCAAAGCTTCCACAAGGTTTCTTCTGACACAAATACTCGCAAAATTACACCAAAATGGGAATAAATGGAAAGGGGATGAAGAATACTCAAACCCTAGCTTTTGGTTGGAGAAGAGAAACTTTACCTTTAACACCAAGAACTCTTAAATCGACCAAAGGTGCCTCTAATGGTCATGATCTCATCCAAAGTCTCCAAAATGCCCAGATCCAGAAAGGGAATGGAGGAGGAGAGAGTTGGGTAAGAATAAATGAGAAATCACCCAAAATTGCACCTTTAATACCCAGATCCAAGCCACATGTATCCGCAACGCGCGCATACAGTGACCTACACAACCCTAGGTCACGCAACAGGTCGTACAACTCACTGACTTTTCACGTTTTGAGCGTTTTCGGTCTCGATTTCAGTTTCCAACTTTTCCCCTATTAACATGATGAAAACCTTCATAATTTAACACATTTAATGGCCATTAATAGGGAGATTAATCATAAAAAGAAACCCGAAATCGTGGGTGTTATAATATGCTGATACAGTATGGACAATGCATACGGTTTAATGAACTCCACTAATATATTGAAAACAAAATGAAAAATTTCATGAACCGCTTGAAATTACATTCCCTAATCAAACATCTTCTATATTTGTCATCACCTAAATTGGTCCAAAGTTGATAACCTTGTTTCAGAATTAATAAATGTTTGTTTTTGATGTAGCTCAGTTGATAAAGGGATATGACAACTTTACCTAAATACAAGACAAGTCCCAGATTTGATCCACCCTCATGCTAGCCTCAGCCCACTACAAAAAAATTAGGTTTATAGAACACCAAAATTGTGTAGATGTCTCAATAGATTGTTTTATAGGACATAAGTTTTTAGGACAAATGTTAAAATGTCACGTCTAAAGGTGCTACAATAGATTTATAGGACGGTTTTGGACGTCCTAACAAATTTTTTAGAACAATTTTGAAATAACGTGTAGTATTAGCTATTTTATAGGACAATATTTGAAGAAAAAAGAATGTCTTATTAAAACAAGTGTCGATAAAAGGATGTGTTTATAAGACATTTGTCAAAAGTGTCATATAAAATAGTTAATACGACGCTTTATTTTAAAAGTGTTCTAAAAAATTTGTTAAAACATCCAAAAACGTCCAATGTAACATATTGCAATATCTTTAAATATGACACTTTAACGTTTGATACTAAAAACTTATATCTTATAAAACAGTTTATTGAGACACTTCCACGATTTTGACGTCATATAAACTCAAATTTTGTTGTAGTGCCCCTTGAGGGAGCCCAAAAATGTCCTCTCATATTAATTGGTGTCCTTAGGGATGTAAACGAACCGAACGTTCAGCAAACCGTTCGGCGGGAAGTTCGTTTATTTAATAAATGAACAAACATGAACAATTTTTTTTTGTTCGTTTAGTTAATCGAACGAACATGAACAAGAGTCTCGTTCGTTCATTTATGTTCGTGAACGTTCGTTCATTTACCGTTCGTTTACATTCGTTCATTTATGTTCGTGAACGTTCGTTCATTTACCGTTCGTTTACGTTCGTTCGTTTATGTTTGTTTATATATTAAATTTAATATGTAATCTTTTATTTACTTACTTTGAATTCAAATAATATTTATTTATATTCGTTTATGTTCGTTTAGTCCGTTCGTTTATGTTCGTTCGTTTACGTTCGTTTAGCATGTTAACGAACGAACATAAACGAACACGAACACACCTTATTTTTAAACGAACGTACACGAATACAAAGATTTTCGTTCATTTACCGTTCATGCTCGTTCGTTTGTTCGGTTAAGTTAAACGAACGAAGATGAATAAGCCTCCGTTCGTGTTTGTTCGATTCGTTTACAGTCCTAGGTGTCCTTAAAGACATGTTTCATGTAGAGTCGGTTGAAGTTACTGATAATCAACTTTTTGTCCGAATAATTAACAGACATTTCATGAAAATTATTGCTTCGCTAAAATGTAGCAATTTCTAATTTATTTTTAATTTGGTTATTAAAAGTTGGAAATTATCAAACAATATTCCGCATTAGAATGGAAACAAAATTGTATTTGACCATTAATTTCAAACTATTGGTTAAGTACTAAAATGTTATAAATTAACCAAGTCAGGGGCCTAATTTGTATATGTGTGAAACTATAGCCTTGACCAAGTCACATATGGATCACCACCGTCACCGAAAAGGCCACCTCATGAGTTTAGACCGGTTACCAACTTTAGACCGTCTGATTTCATCTTTTCTCCGATTCAAATGAGTCTTATAAACAAATAAATGGTATTTTACTTGCGGTTTAATTAGGTTTATTGGCCTATCTGGTTTATTCACATAGCTCATTTGGATTGTTTACTTACGGACATGACTTAATCGTACATATAGAAATGTTGTGCTGTTCCCATTCAGCCATAAGAATGACACCCCTACCCCTTATTTAAAACATCGTCTCCTTCTCAAATGAGACACTCATCGTCAACCTCTTTATGATTTTTTGTTTTGATGTTCAAATAATTAATATTGGGGGTAAATCGGTCATTTATGTTATTCAGACTGTTTGGTTCAGATAAAAAAAGTAAACAATAACACTCATCTATCCAGACAAACAAGTTTATACATACAGAACTTAATAAATTGATATATTTATAAGCATCGTTTCTTTTTATAAGGTATTTTTCAAGATTTAAAAGGGTTTAAAAAATACTGCATCACCCCATGGTCTAGTGAATCAATACAAATGATATGTGCATAGACCATTTCATTTGGACTTGTTCAAGTATATGCATCTTTTCCTTTAGATATGGTCATCATGCAACATGTATGCTTTCCTAAACTTACTTACCTCCATCGGTGGCAACGTCGAGTTTCGATCTTATAAATAACGTAGTCGTTTATAAATTAGCCGTGCACCCATCTCCTCGTATCAAAATAAAATGAAGATCCGAATGAGTATGCACTCGTTAGTCTTCTGGTACTTATGTTTGGTTCATGTTTCGTGTTGTTTTTGCTTCACTAATTTTGCATTCGGGGACTCCATTGTCGATGCTGGAAACAATAACTACTTGCCAAGTCTCTCCAAGGCCGACTACTCTCCTTATGGCATCGACTTTACGCCTTCTGGTGGCAAGCCCACCGGAAGATACACAAACGGTTTCACCATTGTCGACATTGTTGGTACAAACCCTAACCATCTTCTTCCATTTTCCATCCTTTTTGCCCTTTCTCTGATCGGAACAAAATACATCAAAATATAACGAAGATCGCCTTAATTCCTATTCATTGTAACGAAGAATATTTTTCCTATTGCAATGAAGTTTCATAAATTTCTTTTTTGATTAACCTGTATATCTAACCCGCTATGTAAGCCGACTAATCCCAGGGCGACCACCTGCTTTGTAGATAGCCCGAAGTCACCGCATTTGAACCTCCGTGGCCACAAGGATTTTTATTCCTCCTTGAATTTGAACATGTGACCTTCATTTTGATAGGAAACTAAATCAAAAAGCATTTACATAGAAAGCATTTTGATGTATTTTTCTCCTTTGATTATTATTTATCTTATAAGATACTTTTAACACCATATGTTTAACGAAATCATCTTTTTTGGGTTACCACATTTAGCGCAAGCGTTGGGGGCCAAGACGTTGGCTTCACCATCTCTAGCCAGTAATGCAGCATCGAACGCGATTCTTGGTGGCATAAACTACGCATCTGGAGCTTCTGGAATACTAGAAGCAACCGGTACCTTATTTGTATGTAAATTTTATAACGTTATTGGTTCTAATCACAGTACAACAAAGTCGGTTTTATAACACGTCAAATATGCCAAAAGCATCCTAAAAAACTTCGTTAGATTATGCATAATTGTTTGTTTTTAGACTTAAATCATATAAAGCAATCATCTGGTATCTTATAAAGTCGGTTTTCTTGTAGTGGCATGTCACATAGATAAAAATACTTACGAGTTCCGAAATAAAAAAAAACGTAACTTCGCAGGTTGGACGGATTCCGTTGAGAATGCAAATCAAGAATTTTGAGCGAAGCAGGGCTGAAATGGTGAAAACGATGGGAGAAAATAGTACACGAAATTTTCTAAAAGATGCGATCTTCTCTTTAACGATTGGATCGAATGATATCATAACCTACTTCCTACCAAATCTTCCATTCGTTGGCAAAGACGATATTTCCCCTACAAACTTGCAAGATACCATGGTTTCCAACATCACTTTACATATCAAGGTACCTATACAGAGGGAGAATTGAGAAGAGTCTGTTTTCGTGAGACCAGTGAGACCACTTTTTTACACTTGAAACTTTACAGCAAAACCTATAAAGGTAACCTTCACCGTTTTTACCCTTACAATGTTTTGTTGTGAAGTTTCAAGTGGAAAAAAGTGGTCTCATGGGTTTCACAAAAACAAGTCATTTTCACGTGAACCCAACCATATATATATATATATATATATATATGACTTTTCATAATTATGAATTAAGTTGTTTATTCAATTTCGATTGTTAATTTATCTTTTGTGGAAGCGATTGCACGAACTGGGGGCTCGAAAGATGGTTATAGTAGACGTAGGACCTCTTGGTTGCATTCCCTTCGTTCGTGCCATACACTTGCTACCGGAAGGCGAATGCCATGAAGAAATGAATACGTTGATCCGCGGATACAATGAAAAGTTACGTGTGGCTGTTCATCGCTTGAATCAAGAGATAGGGATGGATTCCATTTTCGTTTATGCAAATTCATACGATGTTATAAATGGGATCTTACAAAATTATGGTGATTATGGTAATAATCGTGTATCCAACGATGAATTTGTTTATGATCGACCTTCTTTCGTATGATTGATTTCTTGATTTATATGTAGGATTCGAGAATGTGAATGATCCTTGCTGTGGAGGATACTTTCCGCCATTTTTCTGCTTTCGAATAGGAGATGAGAAAGAAATCAGCTCGAGTCTTTGCGAGGATCGATCCAAGTATTTGTTTTGGGATTCATATCACCCTGGACAAGCTGCAAATTTCATCATAGCTCAACAGATGTTGAATGGCGATGAAAGTATATGTTCTCCCATCAACGTTCGCCAGCTTCATAGTCACAAGCTTTAAGCGATCGATTACATTGAAACCAAGCGTTATGTCGTTGCAAGATCGTCAGATATGGAGTTTACAATGGGATTTTGTGATTAGATCTTAAGCTAATGTGTATGAAAGTAGTCGACTGACTTCTGTAGTTGTAGATTATCAATAACTTGGAGGGATTTTAGGCACTTTGTTGAATTTTCTATTGTATCCATGTAAAATTGTTACCAATCTATGTATTATTTAGATCAGCGTTATATTTGACATGCCTGATCAAGAGCGTACCCACTATGGTGCATAAAAGGTGTTATTTTGTTAGGTGCAACCATATATTGTTTGAAACTATAATAATAACACAAGTTTCTCTTGGTAAAATTGGTTTGCACGGTATTTTCTCCCCTTCTAGGTGTTTGAATCACACTTATAACATTTTCTTAGTTTTTAGCTTTTAATTTCAGGTTTATTATGCTTCTAAAACTTTTTGGGATAAAAAAATTCGAACAATGAACTAACCAACAGACCAATGATGATCTTGTGAAAAATATCCATACCACTTTTTTTTATTGTCCAATGGGGTCACTACTTGAAAAAAACATCTGGGTACGCCTCTGACATAACTATATCTACTCTTGATTAGCATTCTTGTTTCCAAACTCAGTTTTACTCCTTGTGCACCATATTGAGTGTGGGTTAGATTATTATATGTGTTTAGAGTAGTGACCCCATTGGACTGGTCCTGACCATAATGTCATCATGCTAGACTAGACTAGATCAGACCAGACCGTCAATCTTAATTGGTCCAAACTTTTTTGGGATGGACCGGCTAGAAAAAGTAGTATGTGTTTATCTTTATATAAATCAATTCTTTCTTCATATCTATACAAAAAATTACGCTTGGACCCGAATTGTGTTCATAATCGATTCTCAATCCATCATCGTTTCTCAAATAAGAAAAGCTAATTAGGAATACATGTAGTACAATTAGGGGCCGTTTACCTAAATGTTTACCCGGTAAGTGCTTAATGTTAGGAATCAACACTATAATATATTTTATTGGGTAAGATTGTAGCACATCAAAACGTATCATTTACAACAATTTACCTGGTAAGCGCTTACCCGGGTAAGAGTCGTCACCCTCACTTATCGGGTAAGACTCTCCATCCTTATCATCGCACTTACCGGGTAAGATTATTAGCCCTTGCCATACTCATCAGATGAAGAAAATTACTCGATAAATACTTATCGGGTAAGCGTTTAGTAAACGGCCCCTTTAATTAGCAAAGAGAAGTTGAAAGTTAGGAAAGATTTATGTGAAAGGCGTTGTTCCTATAAATGTCATGAGTTGTTGCAACTACAACTCTGCATACTCACTAAATGGTCTCAACAATCGAGACTCAGAATCACTTCTAAACTCCTTTCAATGCCACCTTCTTTTCTCTTTAATTCTCTCTCTCTCTCTCTATATATATATGAATATGTATATATGTGTGTAATGACCAATCGTATCCAATGCACATTTGATAGATCCACCAAGCCCAACAAAGGCTGGCACCCTAGCTAGCTACCATCTCATATATATATATATATATATGTATGTATATGTATTATTGCATGAGTCAGTGGCAGTAGTATGTTTGACTACTTATATAGTGTAGTCCATATGTGTAATTAATGACACATCTTCTCAAAAGTCAAAGCCATCATTCTGAGAAAAAGTCAAATGATAATGTTGCTGAAATTCTTAATTGTTATGGCGAATGGAGGCCAACTGTGTGTGATATGGATCCACGCATGATGAACCACCGTGTGTTGTTGCCTGTGCCCATGTCGGATGCAGCCAGCATTCAAAACGTTGATTAATTCAAGCTAAGTATAAGTATATATATATATATATATACATATATATATATATATACATATATACATATTAGGGTTGGGTTTCGATAATAAGTAGAGTTAAAGTGAGAAGTGTAAGTAAGCATGGCAACAAGGCAGGGATGGGGAGGGTTTTGTAATCCCCGCCCTGGTCCCTAGCAGGTACGGGATCGACATCTCATCTCCGGTTTATTTTCTGGTCAAACCTTAATCCTAGTCCCTGTTCAAGACATAATTTTAGAAAATAAATAATATATATATATATATATTATAAAATTATATACCAGATACGAGGCGGGTCGGGGGTACAATACCCGGCCCCAACACCAACACCAACCCTGGTTTGAGTCTACCGGGGATCCTCGGCCCTGGGACCCGTTTTAGTTGGGAATCTCCATCCCCATTTGGGTCGGATGAGCCGAGTTCCCCATGGGGTCGGGACAAGTCATCATCATTAAGCGTAAGAAGGAATCACCACGTTTGGATGCACATTGGAATAAGATGTACTCCATCCCCGTTTGGGTCGGATGAGCCGAGTTCCCCATGGGGTCGGGACAAGTCATCATCATTAAGCATAAGAAGGGATCACCACGTTTGGATGCACATTAGAATAAGATCTACCGAGATGCACCAGACCAATCCCCGTATTAAGCGCGATTCATGATGAGTTTGAGATTAAAGGTGATTAAGGGTCTAGATCTCTTCCTATATTTCTCACTTTAACTCTGATTCTCACACGATCCTTTACACACACACACACACATATATATATATATATA